TAGAATCCTACACTTTTGAGCAATCTCTTGGCCCAGGACTATATGTAATTCTTTCAGTGTACATAATAACAAACACTGTCAAGAGGTGGATTTGTGAGAGGCCTAGAATTTGGGAACTCCGCAACTCTAATCCCTAGACTGACAACACTTTAGTCCCTGGCATAGAGCATGTCTCACCCATCAAGCTTTAATTTCACCACCTGTAAAATAAGGTTGAAAATTTCACTTATGGATGCTGTATGGCTATTAATTAATGCTTGCAAAGTATTTTACACATGGACATTAAGTATCATACAGGTAAAAATGAAAAAAAATACACTTCCCAAGATTGCCCATTTTATTGCGCACACCTTTTTGTCATTATAGTTTTGTTACTAATATACTGAAAAGCTGTAAATGATCTCCACCAATTCTACTGTGGTATGTAGCTTTAATCCAGGTGGTGATGGCTAATGGTTGTGTACTACCCATAGTTCATGGACAATGTCCCATTTATTTCAGTTATCCACTTGAGATAGCACCAGAAACCAAGTAAGCCAGCTGGCAGGTCAAAACAAAAAGTCAAAAAAGAGAGAAGAGTTATTAAAAACCCAGCAAAGTATTTTTTATCATCATTCTTCATCTGCCCATGAAAATACAAATCACAGAGCACTTCAGTCTGTTCACTCATCTGTTTTTCAGCAGAATAACCCCTGATTTGCACGGGTGAGGGATCAGTCAGATCCACATGCTTTGAATTCAGTGTGTGGGGTCGGCTACTTTCTTTATACATATCCTGACCACATGCTTCTAAATCTACACAGAATAAGAGGGGGATGAGAGCGTGAAGCCCATCAGCCAAGCCATCATTCACAAAGGGAGAGCCTAGTAAATGACTCACACACACACACAACAGAAGATAACATGGAATCTTTCTGCTTGGATTTGTTTTGTGTAAGCGTTGAGTGCACTGAAGGCATGGTCCACACTATTTCCTGATTCTCTTTTTCACTGTCAAAGAGTATAACCTCTTCCCTTCCCCCTGTTCATTCCCTTCCTTCATGGGCTCTGGAGAGAACAAGAACTCTGCATTGCCTTTATCTTGTCCATAACGCTGGCAGGTCTGTATTTAGTCAATTGCTACAATCGAACCTCATGTTTCAGTCACCTGCAAGGGTCAGGAAGGATTCCCCTCCCCCCCTCCGTGCACATTTAGCCAGCTGCATTCTGGGTTTTTTCGTCACCTTCATCTGAAACATAAGATATTGGCCAAAGCTGAAATCAGGCCAAAGGACGAGATCAACCAATGTTCCAAGGAGGTACAGAGAATCCTCTCCTATATATTTAGCAGACGCTTACATGCTCAGGTTCACACAGATTTCTTGATATGGTATCAGGAAAGAATATTCATCCAGGTCAAATTGCCAAAGACCTTGTGACTTTATAACCTTCTTCTGCAACACAGAACCTGCAAAGGTTACCTGGGCATGTCAAGTAATCAATTCCCTGCTGCCACAGGGGCTTCAGGCATTTGTGGGATGTGCCAGCTTGTAACAAGTAGGGATGCAGGAGGGGACACAGTTGGAAATCCTCAATGAGGACAATGGAAGGTCCTTCACCCTGTCTACAGTCATGATGAAAAGCTGGGTAGACCTGAAGAAGATTAGGTAGGCTCCAGATAAAATGCCAATGCACATCTGACATCCAGGACATGCAGCCTTCTTTCCTCACCTGAGACGTGCAGCTTGGGACAAAACATTGAGAAGAAAATATCATGCTTAAAATGGCAGGAAGACATCTTCAGCAGTAATGCTGGATGGAGTCACAGCTGAACTTTGTCCTTGTAGAACATTTTATATGGCAGCTCCGATGTCAAGGCTTAACCTCTGACACTTGTCTTGCTGATATTATTGCTATAAGGCAAGTGACATTCCATGACATGAAGGAAATGCAGCAGAAGTCCAATAGCTCAAAAGGTGGGCCCAGGAGCCTAGGCAAAACCAAGTTAAGTTTCCACTGTGAGAGAGAAGCCCAGGCATTTGGGAAGAATCTCTTAAGGCCTCTCAAGAATTGGACCAAGTGAAAGCTGATGCCTCCACTGGCCACAGTTCTCCCTCATTGATCAATGGGCGCTGCAGGAGTGGTGTCCGCTGGCAAGCACAGCCTGTGGAGAACCCCTGCTCTGATCTTCTCAGGGGGCTGCAGGGGCATGCCAGCCACCTCCAGGAGCACAACCAACCATAGGGGTAATTACTCCAGACATGACAGATTAGGCATTTTAGTACTCGAAGAATTGAAGTTGAGTGTGCTCCTCTTGCCTATTGATGTTGAGGCTGTATTGTCTATCAACACTCACCTCCTTGCATGACATATGTGATAGGAAGACCTCACAGACTGAATGGACAGCTCCGAGTTTTGACATTTTTGTGCAATGTCATATCTATCTACTTGATAGAGGTCCTCGTCATTGTCCAGCATGGCAGGCATTAGTTGGGCTTGGCTGGACGGCTTGACTTGAGCTGGAGCCCAACTCCCTGAGGGCGTGTCTACACTACCCCCCTAGTTCAAACTAGGTGGGTAATGTAGGCATATCGCACTTGCAAATGAAGCCTGGGATTTGAATTTCCCGGGCTTCATTTGCATAAGCGGGGAGCCGCCATTTTTAAA